CTAAAGGTACTCGTGTGCTCAGAAAAAACTTATCAAAGATAGATCTACCTCTGGAAAAGCGAAACAGAGGGGACACATAGACCAAAAGGTGATACGAAGTTGAAACATATTAAAGCATAAGTTGCTGATAGATTTGCGTAGTTTTGGCATTTTTACCGTATCTCACTTGTCCGAGTACCAATAAATGTGAGATCAAGTTCTCTGGAAATGTATACATTGATATACATTTTTTATGTTTTGGATTTTCCGAAACCCTAGATGTTTAAAATAATCATAGACGTTAGTGCAACGATGTTAGACAATAGCCTTCTTTGATGTCAAAAGATTTTCTTTTTGGAAACGATGGGTAGTATTATGGCTTGCACTAAGACATGTCCAACTTCATAATGTTTTGCTTACCGCTCACATTAGATGTATTTTTTGGAGTTCAACATGGCCACAACTTCAGTTCATCTCAATTTTGGACCTGTTTTCATTAGAAAATGCTTTTGAACAACAAATGCTCAAAAAACACAGTTCATGCCTCTAAGTAGCTTTGTCTTGGACTTCTGGTTGATAGACTAGAGGGGCTTTGGTCATCCAGAGGGCCTCTGGTTGATCATGCATTTTGGTTGGTCTCGCCTTTTTGTAAAGCCTTGCTTCTAGTTAACCTTAATTGATCTTGTTTTAAATTTAGCTTTGGTTTAGTTGTTGGACCAGAGGGGCTCTCCCAGTGGGATGCAAGGAGTTGAGAATTTTGCACCAGTGTGACGCGAGGAATAGGGTGGTCTCGCTTGGTATAATGCGAGGACATTTTATAAATCCCTATATGATACGACAAGTTTTATCATGGGATAGATTTCAAGATGTTGGGTATTTGAATACGTTACTTGAGATTTGTTATATCAAAAGGTTATATGTATTTGTTTTAACTAGAAGCATACTCGCGCAATGCAGCGAGATACATCGTGATTTTAATATTTCATTTTATTCTTTATCTCAGTCGATGTCATAATATGACTTTATGTAATTTTAAGAAAACGATGATTTTTTTATTTTTGAATAAAATATATGTTTGAAGATATCATAAAAATTTGAAAAAAAATATATCGATATTAGTATCAAATTAAATATTTGAAATTCCTCATTTTTTGTGTAATTTTTTAATTCAATTTTT